TACACATTTTTTTTTTTTTTTGAGACAGAGTTTCACTTTGTTGCCCTGGGTAGAGTGCCGTAGTGCCATAGGTCACAGCAACCTCAAACTTTTGGACTTAAGTAATTCTCATGCCTAAGCCTCCCAAGTAGCTGGGACTATACGCACCTGCCACAACGCCCCGCTATTTTTAGAGACAAGCTCTTGCTCTGGCTCAGGCTGATCTCCAACCTGTGAGCTAGGCAATCCACCCACCCTGGCCTCCCAGAGTGCTAGGAAGATACACAGCTTTGTTCATCTGTTCATCTATTGACAGATGTTGGCCTGTTTCCAGTTTTGGGCTATTATGGATAAAGCAGGTATGCACACCCTTGCAGAGACATCCAAGGGCTGTCCAGAAAGTATCCAGCTGTGTATGTCTCTACTTTTCATAATACAAGGGTGGATACTTTCATATTACATTCATTTCTTTTTGGTATACACTTAAAAGTGAAATTCCTTGGTTTAGGATAGCTGAAGTTGGCTTGGCACCTGTGGCTCAAGTGGCTAAGGCGCCAGCCACATACACCTAAGGTGGTGGGTTCAAATCCAGCCCAGGCCGCCAAACAACAATGACGGGTGCAACCAAAAAAAATAGCCAGGCGTTGTGGCGGGCGCCTGTGGTCCCAGCTACTTGGGAGGCTGAGGCAGGAGACTCGCTTGAGCCCAGGAGTTGGAGGTTGCTGTGAGCTGTGATGCCATAGCACTCTACCCAGGGTGACAGCTTGAGGCTCTGTCTCATTAAAAAAAAAAAAAAGGATAGCTGAAGTTTAAGTTTATAAGAAACTATCAGTTATTCAAAGACCCTGTACCATTGTACATTCTCACTGGCTGCATATGAACCTTTCACTTGCTCCATCTCCCCCACATGGGAGGAGGATGGAGGGGAGTGCATGGGCAGGGCCTTGAGGGTTGTGGGAGGGGAGGAGAAGGGCAGAAGAAATGGAAGGGGAGGTGGAAAGAGAGCTCTTAGCTCTTGAACCATTTTAACCAAAAGGGAGGTGCATTCAGAGTTTGAGTGGTGACCTGGCCTTCATGTCTTCATATCCCAAGTGACCAAAAAGCATGAGTTGCTGAAAGGAGCTTCTCATATCTCCCTGCCCACCTCCCACACTAGTGTACTGAAGGGTTTTAAGGAACATGTCCTTCCCAGGGTGGGACAGCTGGAGAAGCCAGGACACCCCAACAACAACTGAGCAAATTGTCACACAAGCACCCCTGCAATAGTCTCAGGCCTGGTGAATCCTCAAAGGAATTATTTCTAGCCTTTAAGACACAAGCAATTCTAGCATTTAAAAGAAAATAGAGAAAAGCTTCCAAGGCCAGTCACAGTGGTCACTCCTGTAATCCTAGCACTCTGGGAGGCTGAGGCAGCTGGATCCCTTGAGCTCAGGAGTTCTAGACCAGCCTGAGCAAGAATAGGACCCCTGGCTTGGCACCTGTAGCACACTGGTTATGGTGCCAGCCACATACACCAAGGCTGGTAGGTTCGAATCTGGCCCAACCCAGCCAACAATGACAACTGCAACAAAAAAAAATAGCCAGGCGCTGTGGCAGGTGCCTGTAGTCCCAGCTCCTTGGAAGGCTGAGGCAAGAGAACCGCTTAAGCCCAAGAGTTTGAGGTTGCTATGAGCTGTGGCACCATGGCATTCTACTGAGGGCAACATAGTGAGACTCTGTCTCAAAATTAGAAAAAAGGAATAGGACCCCTTTTCTACTAAAAAACAGAAAAATTAGCCAGACGTTGTGGTGAGCACCTATAGTCCCAGCTACTGTGGAAGCTGAGGCAGGAGGGTTGCTTGAGCCTAAGAGTCTCAGGTTGCTGTGAGCTGTGACAACACAGCACTATACCATAGTGAGACTCTGTCTCGAAAAAAGAAAATAAAAAAGCTTCCAGGTGTGTTTTATGAAGCTAGAATAACCTTCTTCCTCCAGAAGCATGTTAGTGACACAAACAGACTCTTTGGGGGTCCTGGTTGCTACTCCACTGGAAGTATGCAGACAGGTGGCTGGCAAACTGTGGGCTCTTCTGGCTGAATCTAGTTTCCAGACTTGAGGAAGACAACACACGCATACACACACCCATGAGCAAAAAACTACTAACATCATGGATAAGTACTGATACACATTTCCAAAATAAAAGTATTAGCTAATATAATCCAAAAGCTGGATGGTGCCTATGGCTCAGTGAGTAGGGCTCTGGCCCCATATACCAAGGGTGGTGGGTTCAAACCTGGCCCCGGCCGAACTGCAACAAAAAAATAGCCAGGGTGGTGCCTGTGGCTCAGTGAGCAGGGCACCAGCCCCATATACTGGAGGTGGTAGGTTGAAACCCAGCCCTAGCCAAAAACTGACCAAAAAAAAAAAAA